TGTGCATGACAGGGGGCGGTGCCCCAACTCCCCAATCGGCCCTGCTCTGATCCCAACCAGGGGCTGCACCTAGGGATTTGGCCTGCCCTCTGCCACCCGGGAGCAGGCCTAAGCCAGCAGATGGTTATCTCCCGAGGGATCCCAGACTGCGAGAGGGCACAGGCTGGGCTGAGGGACCCCTCTTCCCCCGAGTGCACAAATTTTTGTGCACCGGGCCTCTAGTATATATATACACATACACACACATACTAGAGGCTTGGTGCATGAAATTCATGCATGGGTATGGCCTGCAATCAGGGCCATCTTCCCCAGCTGCCTGCAGCCGGCCCCGCCCCCCCACCGCCACCCACTCCCGGTTCCAGGTTTGCCATCTAGTAATCAGTGCCTGACGGCCGGGGGAAGGGACCGAGAGGTCAAATATTCCCGCCCGCTCGCCAGCCCCACCCCCGCCACAGGTGGCCATCAGGTCATCAGAGCCTGCTGGCCAGGGAAAGGGACCAAGAAGTGGTCAGTGTGCCTCATAGTGACTGGTCCAGCAGTCGTTCTGGTCATTCTGCCATTAGTGTCAATTTGTATATTACCCTTTTATTATATAGGATAGTATTATTACATTCATATCAAGTTCAAAAACAGACAAAATTAATTTATGATGTTAGAAATCAGGCTAGCTAGTTTATACTTTTAGGAATGTGTCTTGGAGAGTATACAAGGAGATTTCTAGGATGTTGCCAATGTTTTATTTCTTGACAGAGTTATGGTACCATGAGTATACTTTATAAGTCCATTTAGTCATACACCTATGATTTGTGTACTTTTGTGTATGTATTCATGATACACTTCAGTTGAAATGCTTAAAGAATAATTTGTAAACTTAAAAAAATATATAGGGATATTTTACATCCTTTTACTCTTCGCTAAGTCTTTGATATCCAGTGTGGATTTTACACATCTCAATCCAGACCAGCCACCTTTCAAGTGCTCAGTAGCCGTGTGTGATGAGTGGCTACCTTGCTAAATATTGCAGGTCTAGGACCCACTATTTCATTTCAGAGCTTCTCTGGAGTTAAACTTTTATTTTCTGGTCTTTCCTTGGAGTGTAGGTGGGAAGAAATAGGAATTGTTTCTCCCAAGGACCTCATTCATGTTAATTTTACTGCTCCTTCTCTGTTTTTATAGAATCTTTTCTACTTAAAAAAGATGGTTGTTTTTGTGTACAGGTTTAGAAAATGCCCAATAAACCATCATTGTGGTTATTTGTTCTTAATGCTTTATTGACCATTCTTTACATGACCAACACTTTTTTAAAAAAGCAAACAGTTGATTCAAGTATGATATATACAAAAGGGCACAAATTGTAAATCTATAGTTTGATGAAATTTTACAAAGTGAGCACATTTACTGTTTGTTTTCAAGAAACAGAGCATTACTAGTCCCCAGAAGCTTCTGCTGTGTGCCACTTCTCAGTCGCTGCCCCCAAAGTAGAACCCAAACTATAACACCCAGGATTAGTTTTGTCTGTTTGTGAACTTCATATAAATGGAATTATAAGTATATACTTTTGTGTGACTTGTTTTGCTTAAAATTATATTTGAGAGATCCACTCATACTCTTGATTATAGCTATAGTTCTTTAATTCTCATTGCTATGTAGGATTTCATCATGTAAATATACCACAATTTATTTGTCTTTGTTACTGTTAATGAATATTTTGGGATAAATAGTGCCGTTATGAACACATTTGGTCATAAATTTTGTTGAATATTATGTTCACATTTCTGTTATCATATAACTGAGTGCGGAATTACTGTGCCAGAGTGTAAACATATATAAGTTTAAATAGATAACTACCAAAGGATTTTCCAAAATGGTTGTACCGGTTTACACTCAACTGTAACTGTGAGTGTAGTTGTTCCTGTCCTCACCAACATTTGTTATTTTTTGTTTGTTTGCTTTGTTTTTTGTTGCTGTGGGCTGGGTTGTGTGTGCAAATAATCCTCAAATTTCAGTGGTTGAAAACTGCACCAGTTTATTTCTCTCGTGTTATATGTCTGTCATGGTTTGGCTTCAGCACCCCTGGGCACTGCTCTTATGCTGTACTGATGGGACAGCCACTTTTGGAAGCTTGCTGGTCACAGGAGCAGAGGGAAGGTAATGGGGAGTGAGCACTTAAAGCCTCTGCCTGATGTGGCACCTGTCACTTCTCACGTTTCATTATCCAAACAAGGACATCTCCTCACCTAATTGCAAAGAAGAAAAATCCTTACCCTGTGCCCGGAGGAAACGAGTATTTTAGGCAAAAACTATCACATCTGAAACGACTGATTTCAGAGAATATGGCCCTGGTTTAGTGTTTGTCTAAGAAAATAAACACACAAAGACAAGTCCTTTTAGTTTTTCCATTCCATGTTGTTTTTAAAACCCCGCAGTCCTGAGAAATGAGTCTATTACACTACAGGATTGTGGTCCCTCTTGCTAAAAACTGCTTAATAGCTTCACTGTGCACTCATGCAACCCAGACACGATGTGGCCTACAGTCCCTGCCTTTCAAGCCTCCTCTCGTGCCATCTCACGCCACACCTCAGCCCTACTGACCTTTCAGTTCCCTGAAGGAGACATGTGCTCTCTACTTCCGCCCTGTGTGCTTTCCTACCTTTCTCCTTGCTTTTACCTGCTAATTCTTTGGCTTTTAGGTCAAATATTTCCTCTAGGAAGTCCCCCGTGACTCCCGGGGTAGATAGAGTCTTCTCTTTTCTATGCTCTCATAATACTCTGTTGCTTTATTTCCAGACAAGCTGTTCCAGAGTTTTGTGTGCGAGCATGTGTTGTTGTTTTTTCATCTTCACTCGAGGATATGTGGTGCTCATTTTTGTTTTGTTTTGTTTTTAGAAAGAGTAAGGGAAAGAGAAACCTCATTGTGAGAGAGAAGCATATATTGGTTACCTCCCATATGCGTCCCTGCAACCTAGGTATGTGCCTGACTGGGAATCAAACCCTCACCCTATTTGGTGCACGGGACGATGCTCTAACCAACTAAGCCACCCAGCCAGGTCTGTTCTAGTTTTTAAAGTCCATTTTTGCGCTATTATTTATTCAATCTGTTTCTCCAATTAGTGTGCAAGCTTCAAGGGAGCAAAGATCAAGCCTGTTTTGCTCACCGCTGTATGCTGCTGCTTCTGTTTATCCCAGTTACTGGCGTGTAATAGGAACTCATTAAATATTAAGTTTGGTTATAGTTTTATGTTTGTGACATTTATGTGGTCTTGAGGAGAATGTGTTCTCTGGTCCTTAGAGAACAATTTGATACTAAGAAGTTAATCACACAAACTGCTACACTGTTGCTCCATGCCTCTGTGTCTTGGGACATCTGAGAGAATCCAGAGTAGGTATGCTTTTCCCATTCTCTCTGGATTAGAGTAACCCTCACCTAGACCTTCACATTATTTAAGTATTTTTTTCTCCTCCTGTTTTTTGAGTGATATTTTCATGTTTAACTTAGAAGCCCTACAGTCAGAGGGGATATATCACATTTAACATAAATGGCAGTGAGTGTATTATATAGACATACTGAATAAATAAATAAGTTGTGTGATATTAAGGTGTGTGTTTTTTTGTTTTGTTTTGTTTTGTTTTGTTTTAGCTTCTGGAGATGATACTGAATTACCAAAACATGTTGTGATTTATTTTCGTGATACTTTGCATTAGCAAAAGGACATCTGTTAGATGCTTGGAAAATGCTTACCTACATCTTTATGCCCCTCACTGTTTGTCTTCATTTACATGTGTTGTGGGAAACTTTAGTCTTTTCTGTTTCTCTTTTCAGAAAGAATAACAAATTTGATCACTTTCTTGTCTATATGTTTCATTGTGGACTATAGGTTCTGTTCATCATTTAAAATGCAAATGTTCTAATAGAGATATCTCCTATAATGATAATCTTATGGGTGGAATAGATAGGATGAAGCAGACATGGTTATCTGTAAGCCTCTCATAGTTGTGTTCCCCATTTTATTCTAGAAGAGAACCTTTGCTTCTCATTAATAAGAACTGATGGGAAGCAAAGGAACACGAGTAAGGATTATATTTGCAGGGCCTCTCTGTTTAAGAAATGTTTATTAGTTATCTATTTTGTGCCAGAAGCTGGGGAAACTAAGAAAGAGATGAACACTTTCTATAAGGCTTTACATTTTTGTTTCAAATGATAATATTCTAATAAGCTGGGTTTCACTCTTTTGCTAGCTGTGCCAATTTTATCGCCTACTGAATGTGGATAATAAGGTACCCATCTCATAAAGTTCTTCTGAGGAGTAAATAAGATAGTGCATTTCAAACACTTAAATGTTGATTTTTATTTACCATGAGACTTTGTCCACAGTTAGCCTCTTAACTGCTTATTCTCCTGTGTTTCTTCTGCTTGTTTTTTCCATATTGCCATCAGAAACACGGATCCGATTGCATAACATTACCTCTTCTATACTGTCTTCTCAACTTTAAAAAACGTTTGTGGTTTTCTGTTGTCTCAAGAAGAAAGCCTCAAATACATGGAAGGCATTTAGCACCTTACCATCTGAACCTGACCTTTCCTACCAAAGTAGCTTCTGCCTTCGCCCCCACTAGGTTGCAGCCCACGTAGGCTGCACACATTATATTCCACGGGCTTGTGCTCTTCCTTCTGCCTAGAATTCCTGCTACAGCCTTAACTCCATTCTCACCCTCACCCAGAACACACAGTCCTCTATGGGCAACTCCGAGATCCTCTTATTCTTCCCAGGTATAAATCTTTGATCCCTGTCATTTACATCTCTTTAGCATGTATCACATTATTAAAATGTAATTAAAGTGTTTTACTCTCCCACCAGCTTGTGAGTTCCTTGAGAGGAGAGACCTTAACTTATTCATCATTGTATCACTAAAACCAGTAGTCATGCAGTAAAAATATTGAAATAATGAATTGAGATTTGGTTTAATTTTGTTTTGATTTCAATGTATTCTTATTATTCCAGGTTCTGGGCCTTGTTCAAAATATGAGTGTTTTCCAGTGTCCAAAATGTAAACACAAGACTCATATTTTTGGTGCTGATGGTGCAAGGAAACTAGCACAGATCCTTGATCTTGATATTCTAGGTAAGACCATAGAATATTCTTTTCTTAAAATATATTTTTCTTGATCTCAGAGAGGAAAGGAGGGGGAGAGAGAATAGAAACATCAACTATGAGAGAGAATCATTGATAGGCTGCCTCCTGCATACCCCACACTGGGAGTCAAGCTCACAACTTGGGCATGTGCCCTGACTGGGAATGGAACCATGACCTCCTGGTTCATAGGTCGATGCTCAACCACTGAGCCATGCTGGCTGGGCATGGAATATGCTTTTGCAGAGGAAATGGTAGAAGGGAAAATAGAGATCGGGTATGGTGATGAAAAGTGTCTCAGAAAGTGATGAATTGCTTTTGGCTTTGTGTTTTAAATTAAGTTAGTTTAGCGCAGTTCTATGTGCTAAGCTTTCTTCGTTTTTTTATAATACTTCATTTGTGGAAGGCTTTTTAAAAGGAAGTTTGTTCTGCCAATTTTGATGCTTTCTGCTATTGATAAAAACTGCTTATAACTTGAAGTTGAGAAGAGAGTTTTGTGGTCTGACTGTGGATTGAAGCCCACATTTTAATGGTCACTAGTTTGTTGCACTGGGAACACATCTCTCAGTTTACCGGTATATACTAGTATGAAAATACCTGTTCATTATGTTGCAGCAAACTTAGGGAGTGTCACTTCTTGGTGCATATGAAAAAATGCCTTCCTGATCAGTTCTGAATTTATCAGTTCTTCTGCTCTAGAAAGACAATATTTTCTGTTTTCTGGAATCTTCTTATATGTGTTTGCCATGTGTATAAGAGATGGCATTTGAAATTTACATTGCATATACTGTTCATATTATTGAATTGAAGGATTAATTAGTGTTATGAGAAGTGAAATCATGTGTTAATGGAATAAAACACAGATTTTTGATAAAACATGACTTTTAAAAGGTCCACAAGCAACCTAATGAACTTTATAGGACACATGTTTTGATATTCTGCTTATTGAATGAGTTTCTGTTCTGAGGAAGGCAGATGTTAGATGCTGAGTAAGGGAGCCATAGAGTGAGTTATTAGTTATAGATAGTTTACAATTAAGATCCCTTTAGAGATCAAGGAATTTCAAAACATACTCTATTATAATTACATTTCTAAAAGTTGATGTTAAATGTATTATTGTTATTATGCATTTGTCCCATAGCAACCACCACAATATCAGGTGAATACTAATGATATATTTTGATACATTCTTATAAATATAGTCACTAATTATATTCTGCAACTGTTTTTCATTTAACCTAAAAAGTTCAGTTTCTTAAATCTGCATAATAACATAACAGATTGACATTCATTTATATAATAAAGGAAATGTGTAATTATAATGGCATTATTGAATTATGTTGACTATATTATAATTCCCTAATTTATAAATGGGTGGTACCGTTTTGTAAGTCAGTGATTTAGACTTTGAAACATATCTCCTAGAGAAACAGTCTCACATATGGAAGTTATTTTTTAACCAACAGCTCAGAAATGTATGGTTACACTAAAAAAGTATCAGCAACACTGATTACTGATCTCAAAACTGGATAATGCCAGAGACTGCTGTCTCTAACAGTGTATGGGAAAATGATTTAGAGCTCCAATTCAGGGCCATCTCCTCCTTTTAATGCAGTCCTAGGGGCCCAGACATAGTGCCCGTGAACTTGAGCAGGGGCTCCAATAATGGAGAGGTTGGAATTGGAAATTAGAAACTGAAATAAAACAAAGAGCTCTCATAGCTATGGCCTCTGACTGATTGAAGCCCCCAGGCACCCTCATTGGTCTCTTACTGACTCTCTGGCTGCCTCAGTTTATTTCATCCATTGGGCTGTGTTTTGAATTTGGCAAAATGGCTTTTCAGAACTTTATCCGTATTTATCTACAGGGACAGTTTATGCCTGGTAGTTAAGGTCTCACGTTATCTCACAGAAACCCCTTTAACTTATGTCTCTGAAATAGGCCCTCCTTTCCTTCGGACCTAGCCATTCTTCATACCTTTACTCCTTTTTATCCTTCTCTGTATACAGCCGTGGCCCCTTACCACTCTCACTATGCCGCCTATTTTCTCACAAGATTTTACTCTGTTTTGATCTACGTTTCTGTATCTATGGGAGGATTGTGAATCTCTGGAAGGCAAAAATCATGTCAATAGGTGGTATAAAGGAGAAGGTTTTACTTTCATTTTTCCCAGTTCTATAATAGCATGTTCATAAGTCAAGAGCAAAAACCTTTATGAGTTTCAAAGTATTTTCTATAACATATATTCTCCTGCCTATTCCTGTGACAACTTCTTATAGTCTTAGTTGATCTGTAGAATAGACACAAATTTACTAAAAAGGTAATCTTTAAATGGTTACCTAAATATTCATATATTTTGTCATTTGTCTATTGAACATTTAGGAAAGACTTAAAGAGTGGGTTAAGATTTCAAAATGTGCTGACAGGAGGAGCATACTTCATAATATAAATTGTAGTAGGTTTGTAATGTTGTAACATATAATCTGCATTATTTACATTGCCTGGCATGGTGCTGAATGACTTTATATAAAACACGTGTATACACACATTTCAATGACCTTCCCATGGATTTGGAGTGGTTCTATGAATGCTGAGTACCATGACGAGTCAGCTCTTCTACTTAAGGCTCCATTTGCTGCCTTTTAAATGTCAGCATTTGGGAAGCCATAATTTGTGATGGTATGGTGGAGAGAGTCAGCTGGATGGTGAATCCCAGCATTTCCCCTATTACACTACCTAATGGTAATATATCATCAGCCAAGACACATCCTTCCAGACCTCAAGTCTGCAAATTGGAGATTCTCACTGTATATGTCCTGAGGTCTCATCAAGCTCACAAGTTTCAATGCTAAAAGATTAACCTATATATAAAAGCCTAAGTGACCGTTATGACCAAACGACCGGAACAACTGGTCAACCAGTTGCTGTGACGCGCACTGACCACAAGGGGGCAGGCATTCAATGCAGAAGCTGCCCCCTCGTGGTCAGTGCGCTCCCATAGCCAACCTCCCATGGCCGGCCAATCACCCGCGGCCCCTGCCCCCGGCTGACCAGATAACCTCCTGGGGCCCCTACCCCAGGCTGGCCAGCACCCTAATAAGCTTCGAGGGACCCCACCCATGCACGAATTCGTGCATCAGGCCTATAGTATATAATAAAAGTAATCCTATCTGATAAGAGACAGGGAGTTGAGATAACAGGTCTGGCCTACTTTTCAATAGTTCGCTTAGCTTACTTGTCTGCTAGCATCAGGAAGATTATATTGTACTTTTATTTTATTTTTTTATTATTTTGGATTACTTTGTCTTCCCCATCTTTTCCTTTTCAGTTTCCTCTTATTATGTGGTATGTTGTGTCTATACCAGCTATTACAGGTAAAAATAATTTACAAATGTCTTCCAAACCATTTGTAGGAAGATCTCCAGCAAAGAATAAACCATGGCCCCATGAGGAGTGGCCACATAGTTTTCATATAATATATTAGAGGCCCGGTGCATGGATTTGTGCATTGGTGGGGGGTCCCTCTGCCTGGCCTCCGGGGATCGGCCGGAAACCAACAATCCTACATCCCCTGGGGAATGTAGTTGTGCCAAAACAGCAGGCAGCCAGGGAGGAGCCTGAGCCTGGGCCAGGCGCTGCACTTCGCTGCTCCTGCTCATCCTGGCCCCACTGTACCGACTGCCACCAACGCTCGGTAGGCTCGCTGCTGCTCTGCTGCAGTCTCTGCGCCCGTCCTAGGGCAATACTGGCGCACCCGTGACCGAGAAGCAGCCGTGGGCTCACACCCAGTCAGTCCCGATGCTGGTACCAGTCTGGATGGGAGAGGGGTGCACATGGGGAGTCTCCACGGAAGAGGCTCGCGCCACCGCAGTGGTGCTCGCCAACCATGAGCTCACTGTCTGGCACCTGTTGATCAGCTGAGCAGCGCTCTCACTGACCACCAGGAGGCAGTTCCTGCGTTGAGCATCTGCCCCCTGGTGGTCAGTGCATATCATAGCTACCAGATGACCAATCAGTCATCCGGTCCCTTAAGCTTTTGTATATATAGATATATCACTGTACTACCCTGAAGTGGAATATTTTCTCCTAATTTTCATTTGAAATTCCTTGATCGGAGATTTAGCAATTTTTAGGATAATCCTAACTCAAGTTGATTTGAATCAGTTTAGTTTAAATGTTGTTTCTGAAGTTCACATAGTGAAATTCCAAATGCGATATAAACTTTTGTAGTACTAATGGATATCTGGTGGCTCTTTTAGGAGATATTCCTTTACATCTTAATATAAGGGAAGCTTCAGATACAGGCCAGCCGATTGTATTCTCACAGCCTGAAAGTGATGAGGTAAGTGATCTTTTAAAAAAATGTATTTTCATTTCTCTTTAGAGGATATGTACTTTTTGTTATGTAGAAAGAAGGTTGGTAAGATCAAGTTTATCTATTTGCAATGCATATATTGAACAAAAATTGGTAACTTATCCACAGCATTTTAACTTACTATTTTGTGTGGTAGGCATATCAGTGCTGGCCTTGAATTATCAACTGACCAAGTTCACCTACAAAGAGTCATCACCAACCAGTTATCTCATGAAGAACATGCAAAGCAAGAGTTTGCAGAGTTCTTATCTTGCTGGCTATTAGTATCTAACTGCCCACGGCTATCTGAAGTTGAGCTGGTTGTTGGGAGAAGGAAACCTAATATAAAAAACATTGAGTTGGATATAGAGAAACTATAAACCATTAGAGATGGAGTTTTCATTGCATTTATTTGAACAGATATGATTGGGGAAGTGAGGTGGAAAAACTAGTAGTGTTTAATTACGGATACAGCTGATAAATTTTCAACTGAAGCTTGACAGTTTTAAGCCTAAAATATTTTTATTTTATTCTTTTTAAAAAATAGAAATAAAATCAATCATATATATCACTTTTTCCTAAGTAGCACTTGCTATTAAATTAGAAACTGATCCATCCTCTGGTACATCAGTTTTGCTACAGTTTTTGTGCTTATTTGCTGAATAGTCCCATTCTTCCAATAGTTTTTCTCATATATTTCTTTTTTAGCTAGCAAGTATAACCTTACAGTACTGTTATTTTGCTTTTGTTCTTTTTAAAAATTGTAGTTGACATACAGTATTATATTAATTTCAAGTGTACAGCATAGCAGCTCAACATCTCTATGCCATGTGAAGTGATTGCCATGTCAGTGCTAGGAACTGTCAGTCACCATGCAAAGTCATAGTATTATTGACTGTGTTCCCTATGCTATACGTTACATCCTGTGACTTATTTATTTTATAACTGGAAATTTGTACTTCCTAATCCCCTCCACCTTTTTGTTCATCTTTCCACTCCTCTCCCCTCTGATATTTATCACTTTGTTCTCTGCATCTCTGAGTCTGTTTCTGTTTTGTTTTGCTTCATCGATGTTTTTGACCTTCAGATTCCACATGTAAGTGAAATCATATGGTATTTGTCTTTCCCTGTCTGACTTATTTCACTCAGCTAATACACTCTAGGTCCATTCATGTTTTCATAAACGGCAAGATTTCATTCTTTTTATGGCTGAATAATAATATTCGTGTGTGTGTGTGTGTGTGTGTGTGAATTCCCAATAAAATGTATGCACACTTTGAATAATTTTTAATGCCAATGGGTTAAATCTAAAAAGAAAGAAACATCAAGTGAGCTATCAGAAAAAAAGTGTGTATGCAGTTTTTGAGAACACCCTGTATATAGCACATTTTCTTTATCCATTCATCAGTCAGTGGATACCTAGGTTACTTGCATTATTTTGGCTATTGTGAATAACACTGTAGTGAACATAAGGATATATATATATATTTTCAAATTAGTGTTTTTAATTTCTTGAGGTAAATGCGCAGAAGCGGAATTGCTGGTTTCTGATGGTAGTTCAATTTTAATATTTTGAGGAATCTTCATTCTGTTTTCCATAGTGCCTACACCAGTTTACAATCCCACCAGCAGTGCACGAGGGTTCCCTTTTCTCCACATCCTCACCAACACTTGTTACTTGTCTTTTTTATAATAGACTAGTAGCCCGGTGCACGAAATTCGTGCACATTGAAAGGGAATTAATTAGAGGAACATAATTTGGACTCACTATCTAATATCAATAATATGTGAGTGTGAGGCAGTCCGCATTTCTGAAATTCAATGACATGAATTTTAGCTATTACTTTGCCAAGTAAATGGAATTTACAGATATCATTTAAAAGAGCATTCAGCTTAATATTTAAAACTCTGGCTACCAAGTCAGGTCTGTTTTCAACTTTTGCCAGCATTGTAAATTGTTTGCAATATCTGCCCATTTGGGGTTGCATGTCATGGTTATGAGCTACATTGTATCAACAGTTGTTCTTTAGACATAGTCCCACCTCTCTACTGTCACAGTCTGAGATGCAGGTGAATGAGAGTCCTGGCTATCAGGCCGCTGAGAGCTGTCTGACCAAAGGCTGATTCTGGCTGATTCTGTGAGGGTGGGACTTCCTCCTCCCTACTGTCAGTTTCCACAGCTGTGATGAGGAAGTTGGTGTGACAGAGGGAGCTACGCCCTCCAAGCTGCCCTCTCTCTCGCTCAGCTCTATGTCCAGTGGTCTCTTGCTCTGCCAAGTCCTCCAAACCTCCCGCTCTCAGCGGGCAAGGTCCCAGGAGCCCATGGGCATGGTTAGGTGCAGGCGGCCTCACCTCCTGGGCCTGCGAAGGTCCTGGGAGCCCACGGTTGCTGCCGCTGTTGGCTCCTGGGGTGCCTGTCACCTGTGTATGCAAATTAACCGCCATCTTTGTCAAGTTAATTTGCATAGTCACTCTGAGTGGCTGGTGGGCGTGGCTTGAGCATAGCAGAGGGATGACTAATTTGCATGTTTCTCTTTTATTATATAGGATATTTTGACAGGAGGTGTGAAGTGATATCTCAGTGTGGTTTTGATACCTCCCTGATGTTAGTGATGCTGAACAATTTTTTATATGTCTATTAGCTATCTGTATGTCTTTCTTGGAGAAATGTCTATTAGGTCTTCTGCCTATTTTTAAATTGGATTGTTTATTTTTTTGATGTTGAGTTGTATGAGTCTTTATATATTTTGGATGTTAACCCCTTATCAGATATATCATTTGTAAATATCTCTAATTCGGAAGGTTTCATTTTGTTGATGGTTTCCTTCACTGTGAAAAAGCTTTTTTAGCTTGATGTAGTCCTATTTGTTTATTTTTGCTTTATTGCTCTTGCCTGAAGAGACATATCCAAAATATATTGGTAAGGCCTTTGTCAAAGAGTTTATTGCCTATGTTTTCTTCTAGGAGTTTTATATTTTCAGGTCTTACATTTAAGTCGTTAGCCCATCTGAGCTTATTTTTGTATATGGTATAAGAAAGTGGAAGAGTTTCTTTCTTTCTCTTTTTGCATGTATCTGTTTTTGAATCACCATTTATTGAAGTGGCCATCTTTTTTCCCATTGTATATGTTTGCCTCCTCTGTCATAGATTAATTGACCATATAAGTATAGGTTTATTTTTGGTCTCTGTATTCTGTTTTATTTATCTTCTAGAGGCCCAATGCATGAAATTTGTTCAGGAGTAGGCCTTCCTTCCCCCAGCTGCTGGCACTGGCTTCCCTCCAGCACCCAGGACCCTGGCTTCCCTCACAGAGGGAGGCCCTGCCCACCTGCCACAGCCCGCCAGTCAGTGGCCTTGGCCTCCTTCTGTGGGGCAATCATGGGGCGATGGCCGGCCCCCCGACCAATTGCATCGCACCCGCCTTGGCTGGCCTGGCACCAGTGGGTGTCATATCGTGGTCCTGGATGGTCGTCTGGATGGTTGCTCCGCTGTTCGGCCATTTGGTCAATTTGCATATTACGCTTTTATTATATAGGATGTGTCTGTTTTTGTGCTACTACCATACTATTTTGATTACTATAGCCTTATAGTATAGTTTGAAATCAGGGAGTGTAATATCTCCAACTTTGTTCTTTCTCAAGATTGCTTTGGCCATTTGGGGTCTTTTGTGGTTCTATACAAAGTACTGTTATTTTGTCCATCCATAACTGCTATCCCTTCATTCTACTTTGCTTCCTTTAATTTTGTGTGAACTGGGAAATAAAGGAGCCAAGTGTGGTTAGAGTTGTGAATAGGGTGAGAGGAGACTGGCAGTCAGGAGTGTAGGGTAAGTAAAGCGGATTTACCTGGTATTTGAATTGTCCCTTTCAGGGGCCCAGAGCTCCTTCCCTTTCTTGAGAGTCAACATCTATGGTCAGGTGATTGGGTTGCTGGGAATGTGCTGAATAAATACAGTGTAGCACTTATCACTGTTTTTCTTTTCTCCTTTAAGTAATGTTAAATTTCTTTTTCAGTCTTTTCTTAGAAATCTTTCATATAAGCAAAATTATAACCTTTTATTTCTTTCATAATTGAAGTCTGGCAATCCCAACTACCCTAGGTGTACTTTATGCAGTGAATAAAAAGTTGTATGAAAATTGAGGGTTTAAAAAACTACACACTTTTAAATGTCTCCCGAGAACTGACTATTTAAAGACATTCCATGGTGATTATGATGATTAACGTTAACTATTTACTAGTGTATTTCAACTGAGTTTAGATTTTTAAATATGTTTTCCACCTTTCCATTTTCTTTGAGATTTTCCAAAAGCAAGGAGCATTTCTAAGAAGTTAAATAAATGTAATATAATAGAGACTATATAACAACCATCAAAAGATAATATTTAAAACTCTGAACAACAGTGTTTGTGGAATATATATATATATAGTATATATATTTATAATCCTCACCTGAGGATATGTTTATTGATATTAGAGAGAGGAAGGGGGAGAGAGAAACAGTGAGTAAGAAACATCAATGTGAGAGAGAAACATCGATTGGCTGCTTCACATATGCACCCTCACGGGGGACCAAACCCAAAACCTGGGTATGTGCCCTGACCGAGAATCAAATCTGTGACCTTTCAATGTATTGGACCATGCTCCAGCCAACTGAATCTCATTTGCATAAATTTTAGAGTTATTATTTTACTATTGTTGGGTGACATTTATGGGAATGTGAACAGCCCGACATTTTGTAGTTAAAGTTAGATTTGATTTGGTAAGGTGCATTATAAGATATTCCTGGTAATGACTTTCAAATACAGTGGGGCCTTGACTTATGAGTTTAATTCATTCCATGACGGAGCTCGTAACTCAAATTACTCGTATATCAAATCATAAAGTGAACGAGTGAGACACGTGATGCTGGGCTTATGTTGTGGCGTTCACTGTGACGTTCGCTGCGTCAACGAGCGGTGGGGTATCTGAAGCTGGCTCATAACCCGAATTTTAGCTCGCAACTCAAAGCAAAAAATCGGCCGAGAGACGGCTCATATCTCGAAAAACTTGTTAGTCAGGACACTCGTAAGTCAAGGCCCCACTGTATAAGTGGAAACTTTATCATCTTATAATTTCTTAATACCTCATTGTCTTAATATGAAAATGACTATATAAGATAAATTAGAACTTTAAATCTTTAAAAACAAAAGATAAATAACCAAAGCTCTTTATAAAACTTCTTACACTTTGGTTGCCATCCATTTCCTTTTATTTTTTTAATATGTTTTATTGATTTTTGGAGAGAGAAGTAGAAATATCAATGAGAGAGAAACATCATCGATTGACTGCCTCCTGCCTGCCACCTACTGGGGATCGAACTGTGACTTCTTGTTTTATGGGTCGGCACTCAAACACTGCTCCTTTTACTTTTTTTTTTTTAATTCCTTAGTGTTTAAAGTATTACATATGTCTCCTTTTCCCCCCATTGACCTCTCCCTGGCCGCTCCCATGCCCCAGAACATGCCCTCACCCCTGTCCTGTCTGTGTCCATTGTTTATGCTTATATGCATGCATACAAGTCCTTTGGTTGATCTCTTACCCACCTTCCCTCCTTTTATTTATTAACTAGAGGCCTGGTGCACAAATTCATGCACAGGTGAAGTCTAGCTGTCCCACCCTTATGGGGGGCCCATCGGGTTGGACCAGCCAGGGGGAGGGGCCATGGGCGGTTGGCCAACCGGCCCTGCCCGCAATCAGGGTAGGGGGGCCAATTAGGGACCAGGCCAGCCAGGGGGAAGGGCTTTGGGAGGTTGCTGGGGGCCGATTGGGGCCCCAATTGGGCCCGTTGGCTGCTGCAGTGCATGTCATAGTGACTGGTCATTCTGGTCGTTCCAGTCGTTCTGCCGTTCCAGTCGCTTGGCTTTTATATATATAGACTAGAGGCCCGATGCACAAAGATTCGTGCAAGAATAGGCCTTCCTTCCCCTGACTGCCGGCACCGCCTTCGCTCCAGCCTGGAGCTGCCTTTCCACCTTCGCTCTGGCTCGGAGCCGCCTTTCCGCCTTTGCTTCGGCCTGGAGCCACCTTTCCGCCTTTGCCCTGGCCCGGAGCTGCTTTCCACCTTCACTCAGTCCCGGAGCCGCTTTCCACCTTTGCACGCTGCCCAGAGGCCCAGAGCGGCCTTGGCGGGGCAGAACTGCTGTGTACCCTCCCAGCTGCCACCATCTTTGTCATGTCAGTTTGTATATTCCCTCCTTATTGGCTGTGGGCGCCACCATCTTTGTCAAGAAGTGATGGTCAATTTGCATATTCCATCTTTATTAGATAGGATGACAGAGCAGATAAGTAAGATCCAGCTGTATTATCTCCTCTTCAGGGTGGTCCAAAGACCTTGAATAGGTGAGGATTAGTCTCTGTAAAGTTGAGTTGATGAGAAAGAGAGTATTAATAGTTTGATAAATCTAAATCATATTTTTTTTACATATGATGTGTATGTGTATGCTTTTTGCTTGTTATGGATTAAACAAAAGAAAGGGATTTATTTTACTTATTCCTTGGTCAAGAAAAGTGCCCAAAAGGACATATTAATATGAGTCCTTCAATGAAATTGTAAATTACTTGAGGACAGAATAGTAATAATAATGGCCACTATTATTTATTATCTGCTTCTTTTGTGCCAATACTTCACATACTTTTTTCTTACTTAGTACTCCCCAAATCCTTTGAGGTAGATACTATTGTTATAACCGTTTTATAGATGTGGAAAATTAGTCTAGTATGGTTAAGTCATTTGCCCAAGGTCTCAGAGCTAGTAAATAACAGAACTAAGATTTTAAACCATGCTTGTCTGACTTAGAGGCCCCAACTTTTCACCAGTGAGCTATTATATGTCCCCTTTATATCATTACATTCCACTGATTCTCTGAAACAATGCATTACACACACAGTAAAACCAAAAAAATTATTTGTTGAAATAATACTGCATTGGCTGAAAAAATTCAATCTTAACAGTTTTATAGAAATTGAAACTAAGTACTTTTAGTGGTTTCTCAGCAAATGACAATCAAACCATTACTTTAAGTGTCATATGTTGAAAGTTTAAGCTTGGAGATAGGCCATTAAAAAGCAAAAGTTAAATGTAGCAAATTTGATTATCCTGGAATCATTCAGTATTTTGTGCCACCTGATAGGTATGTCTGTAATTTAACGTAAGTATGAATAAAAGATTATAGAATGATGACCTTGTCTCAGCTTGCCTTAGTAAACTTTAAATTTTCATCTGAAAATATTACACTTAAATACCTAGAAAAGATACTAGGAGACTAAAAAGATATTCATAAAGATGCTTAGCTGAAAATCAGCATATTAGATTTAAGAGAAATATTTCTTTATTAAGTCTATGTTATTTTCATTTTTATTTATTATTTTTATTTTTTCCCAAAATATATTTTAATTGACTTTCAGAGAGAGGAAGGAAGAGGGAGAGGGAGAGAGAGAGGAGAGTGAGATAGAAACATCAATGATGAGAGAGAATCATTGATTGGCCACCTCTTACACGCCCCACACTGGGGATTGAGCCCAAAACCAGGTCATGTGCCCTGACTAGGGATCAAACTGTGACCTCCTGGCTCATGGGTTAACATTCAACCACTGAACAACACCGACTGGATTGTTATTTCCATTTTTAAATAAGAGCTATTGTTTTTGTTAACTATAGCAGTGACTAAAACCATTCTTAGACAAAGCATTACAATTATAATTGCTTGTATCTTGATTTACTGTTTCATATGTGATGTAGTAGAAGGAGCTGAGCTTTGGAGTCAGGTGGACCCAGATTTGAATGTTTCCCAGCCTACAGACTCTGTGATCACAACTTTCAGTGTTTCAATCCAAGTTAAGCCCATGATGCTTATTTTACATAAGCGGGATTACTTATGTGAAGTAGTTGGTGTAGTAGGCACTCAGTAAAAAAAAATTAAGTCCTTATTCATGCTTTGAGAGATACTCTTTTTTTAAAAATGGTCTCAAATGAAATTTTAACGTTTTCCTGGTAAAATAAAGCATAACTTAGATGCTAGGGTTCAAGCATAGTTTTTTTAAATAAAGATGTGTGAGACACACTTAAAGCATTACATTAGGTCTCAAACAGTTCTCGTACCGGGCAGGTCAGGAAGTTGGGCAGCTCATCTAAGACTGGCTGTAAAGTCTTCACCTTTCTGGGTTTTGGTTTTCTCGTCTATAAATTGGGGATAATAACAGAGTTTACCCCTTAGGGTAGCTGTAAGGATAAATGAAATAATACTGGGAAAATGTTAAGTACTTAAGTTTTAGCTGTTATTAATTGTAGTAGTTGGAGTAGCAGTAGCATATACTCAAATCTAAGTATATAAATGTATAAAGTAATAATTTTAGAAAGTCTTACTATTGTGTCCTACAGTTACTTTTATAGATAAAATGAAAGAATTAAGAAATAAAATTTACATTGCAATAGTTTAAAACCCTTAAAATACAAATGTCATGACCATTATTCAAACTGCACTGTGGGCACTGGGTTAGTTGGTGGCCCACTCGGTGGCCTGGGGGCTTCTCAGAGTGTTTCACTGGGGTGCGGAGATGAAGAGTATGGCAGTGATCCCATGGTCCCCAAAACTCACCAGGTGGAGGAGCCCCAGGTGCTTGTGCTGGTACTAGATGCCATTCTCAGAGAGAATAAAGAAATGGTTTCCGTAGACACACTGTAAGGTGGTAAGTAATAGTCCTCTTTAAACGACTAACAACTCTTATGCCACAGAATTGTTGGCAGAATCTACCTCAGGATATTAATTTGTCAGAAGAGGGAGGCATAATTTTTCTGCAGCTAGACTAGGTTGCTCGTTTGCTGACTCAGGAATTAGAGTTTGAAAAACAGTAATTGCTGGTACTAAATATTTTTTTTCAGAAAGTCACCTTCCAAGTAGTTGCCTCCAAATAATCTAAAATTATTTTCCCTGTCCTACCTACAATGTATCTCCTCTCTCCTGAATTTCTTCAGCTCAGCCTTTTTACTATTAAATTCAAAGGACAATGCTGGTAAACAGTTCCTGAGTCAGTTGATGTGTGCTGGGGAGAAGTATAGAATACACTTGTCTGTTCTTTTCCAGGCCAAAGCTTACCTGAGGATTGCTGAAGAAGTGGTCAGAAGATTGCCACCGCCCTAGCTGGCTTGGCTCAGTGGATAGAGCGTCAGCCTGCGAACTGAAGGGTCCCAGGTTCGATTCCGGCCAAGGCACATGCCTGGGTTGTGGGCTCGATCCCCAGTAGGGGGTGTGCAGGAGGCAGCCAATCAATGATTCTCTCTCATCATTGATGTTTCTATCTCTCGCTCCTTCTCCCTTCCTCTCTGAAATCAATAAAGAAATATATTAAAAAAAGAAGAAGAAGATTGCCACAACCTCTACAGTGACTCCCAGTTGTCCTGAAACTTACCTGCTGCATGACAAGGAGACCTTTGGGAATAGCAGTGTGATGGTAATGCCTACAGAAACAATAGCAATCACAGAAGCAATAGCAACCTTGTATTTCTAAGGAGATAATGTCGTATCTTCGGGTTTGATTTGCCAAACAATGACTCACAAATAAAGTTTTTGCATATCACTGCTAACTATTATATTTAGGAATTGTTTAGAAAGCTGATGTGAACCAACTGCACAGAAGTACATTTTATTTTATTGAGCTACCCCTTGAAGAGTTATGAGTTTATGTTACAAGTCCAATCTTCAGTTCAGGAGAGAACTTTGCTCTTTTTAAAGGATTTGCTAAATTTGTATAAGGACACAAGTGTGACATCCTCCATCAGACAATTTGGTATGGGTTTGAATCCTGCCTCTAATACTGTATTGAACACATTCTTAATGTAGATTAAACCTCTACTTCACCTGGACTTGACCTTACCCTAGACTTAATGAATCTGAATCTCCAGGAATGGGGCCTGGACATGTGGATTTTTAAAAATATTTATTTTATTGTTGCTAGTGTTACAGATGTCCCCAAATTTTCCCATCCCCCTCCTCCCAGCCCCTGAACATGTGTATTTTTAACAAGATTCTAATGATTTTGATGAATCATATGATGGCAATAATAGCAATAAGAGTTAACATGTATCAAGTGTTTTCTTCTGTCTTTATGTTAATCTTCCTTTCATATGAGGGTGGGTAATGTTGCTCTCTCCATTTTACAGATGAGGAAACTGAGGTATAGGAAAGTTAAGTGTCTTCCCAAGGGTTACTATTTTAGGAAAGCAAGGATCTGAGATTTATACTTGTGCACTTGGATTACTGGATCCATCCTTTTATACAAAAAGGGCATTTGTTTATTTCAAAAGAGGAATATAATATGCAGCATTTCCTCAAAATCACTTGACCATGAACCTCTCTATTCCCACACCCACCTTTTAGAAGGAGTTCATTTTATTGCAGTTCATTTTTCAAAGAATACACTTTGAAAAGCATGTATCTTGTCTAGTTGAGGCTTAGAGAGAGACGTCAGGGGCTTCCCAGGTTCAAGTAGTAAGATAGTTGTAAAGCTGCAAGTACTGATGAGTCATTAGTTAATCCTCGGTTTTGAGGAAGTAGTCTATGACGTTTGGCAAATGCCTTCTCGTCCTTTACTATGTAGTTAAGCAGCCGGAAAATTAGGCAAAGAGTTACGTGCCATTGTAACTCTTAGTGGATACATGCTACAACCTGGATAAATTCCAGAGAATTATACTGAACGAAAAAGCTAATCCCAAAGGTTATGTATCATATGATTCCATTTATATAATATCCTTGAAATGACAAAATTATAGAAATGGAGAACTAATTAGTGGTTTCCAGGGGTTACAGAAGTGGGGGGAGTTTGTGTGTGTCTATAAAAGGGCCACACAAGAAATCCTTGTGATGTGGGAAAAGCCCTGTTTTGCAAGATGTTATCATTTTGGAGGAAATGGGGTAGAGGGCACAGTGGAATCTATCAGCATTACTTTTTATAACCACACTAGAGGCCCAGTGCACGAATTTATCACAGGTGGGGTCTGGCTGGGCTGGCCCCAATCAGCCGAGCCTGTTGGGAGGAGGAGATGGCAGAAGGTTGGCCAGCTGCCCCGCCCCATCAGAGCCAGGCCAGCTGGGGGTAGGGGGCTGCAGGTGATTGGCTGGCGGGCTCCACCCCTGATTGGGTTGGGGGCCGATTGGGGGCAGGGCCAGCCATAGGGAGGGGCTGTGGGTGGTGTGCTGGCCAGCCCTACCCCTGATTGTGGTGGTGGGGGCCCATCTAAGGTGGGGCCAGCTGGGGGGAGGGGCTGCAGGAGGTTGGCCAGCAGATCCCATCCCCTATTTGGGTGGGAGGAATGATCAGGGGCAGGGCTAACCAGGGGGAGGACCTGCAGCCAGTCAGGGTGGTGGGGGCCCATTGGGGGTGGGGCTGGTCAGAGGGAGGGGCTGCAGGAGGTTGGCTGACTGGCCCTGCCCCCTATTGGGGTGGAGGGGCAATCAGGGGCAGGGCCTGCCAGGGGGTGGGGCTGCAGGAGATTGGCCAGCCGGCCCGCCCTCTATTGGTGTGGGAGGGACGATCAGGGGCAGGGTTGGCTGGGGAGAGGGGCCACAGGAGGTTGGCCAGCTCGCCCCACCCCTGGATTGGGCCGGTTTGCTGGCCGCAGTGGGCGTCATAGTGACTGGTTGTTGTGGTCGTTCTGGCATTCTGGTCGCTGGCTTTTTATATATATAGATGTGAATATAAAATTATTTCAAAATAAAAATAAAATTTTAATTATAAAAGCAAACATGTAGCTGCTGTGTCTGAACTGAACTGTCCTGGAACAAATTATCCATACTCCTATTTGTGATTAAAATCACGAATAGGAGTATTTGTGGACATACAGCAATCACCATTCATCACTCCAAGAAGGAAGTAATCATTTAAGTTGTAGACATTTACTTGTGCTTTTATTGTTTTTTACAGGGGAGGCCAAAACAGAGCACTATTTAAAAAAAAAAAAAAAAAGCAAGTGTTTGAACCATACTAAACTTTACCTACCAAAAGAATGATTTAAATAAGCTTCAGAAGCTCTTAAATTGTGAGCCATAACTTAATAATCTGATGGAGAATGGGAAAGATAGTCTTTACTCATAAATGCATGACTTAGAGAAGATTCACATGAATAATCATCCATTCTCTCTCCTCCCTGATCTACTAGTCTCTGCAGATGCTTCCAGGAAAGCCACTGAAACAATGAGTATAAGAGTTCAGAAGGGAAGGGAGGACAAGTTGCTATAATGGCAAGAAGGAAGCTTATTCTAAAATTTTGCCCATGGCAGCCTTTACTAAGCTTCTGAGAGCTGACTTCAAAGACAGACTATTAAGGAAAGCAAATCTGCCTGTTGTTAGGAGTAATATTTATTTCTCACTACATTTCCATAGAGTGTAGAGAATTTCCACTTCACATTCCAGAAGGGAAAGGCAGCCTCCCCAACTCACTCTGTTCCAGGAAAGGAAGAGTGACTCATCTTGTCGGTAAATTTCTTCTTGTCTGCATTTCTTTGATTTCAGCCAAATCCTGAGCTTCCATAGGCGAGCTACAGGGAAACCTGAAATTGTCCACCTCTGCCTCAGACCCTGGTGGACAAGTCCCTCTAATTTCGGGGTAAGGTATTTGGTAACCCAATGTGCTCACATATCTTCTAATCCAGGTATTTATCAATAATGAAGTTGTTGTGTTTTTTTACCTTTATCTGAATTCTGTGTCTCCCAGTTAATAGGGGAAGAATTCCCCTAACCTCACTCCATGAAATCACAGAATACCTTTCTAGAATCCTATACAGTTAAAACCAAAGAATATATTAGAGTTTGGTGTATTTGAAGCACTTTCAGTAAGAAATAAGTTTACCAATGACCAGAAGATATTTTGGGGGTGGGGGGATAGGGAGGTGGGGGTGGGGTTATTATGAAATATACTACATACAAAACAGCACAGAAGACAAATATACAGGTCAATTAATTCTCTACACCCATGTAACTTAAGTAGGGCACTGCCAGCATCCCAGAAGCCCCTGTCTTTTCCTTCACCATCTCTACCTTCTCCTCCTTACAAATTACCCACATGCTGATGCTTTAACACCTAAGCCTGTGCCCTCAAACATTATAGTTTTGCCTGGTTTTTGAAGTTCATATTAGAATTATACAGTATTCTGCTCTCTATTAACTGCTTTTATTTTTGCTCCACATTGACTGCTTTCATTCTATATTGCGTTTCAAGATCCATGTCTGTTGTTGCATTTGGTGTGAGTTGTTCACATTCTTTGCTGCAGATTGTTCCATTGTTTGCATACACAGCTAATCCATTCCATGGCAGGTGGATATTTGGATTGATTTTAATGTTTTGCCATTACAAATGACACTGTTCTGAACATTCATGTACATATTTTCTTGGTGTTCATGTGCTTGAGTTTCTGTTGAGTTATTGTTTAGTGTTATCTCGTTGTGGTTTTAACTTGCATCTCCTGATTACAAATTAATTGAGCACCTTTACTTACATTTATTGGTTAATTCCTCTTTTGTGTAGTGCCAACTCAAACCTTTTGCCCATTATTCTATTGTGTTGTTAGAAAATATATATTTTTATACTTTTAATATGAATCTTGTCAGTTCTGTGTGTTGCAGATATCTTTTCCATTCTCTATGACTTGCCTTTCACTGTCTTAATAGTGTCTTTTGATAAAGTATCTAAATTTTAATGTACTCAAATTTACCACTTTTTTATGATTATTAATTTTTGTGCAGTGTCCCAACACATGAAGATATTGTCCTATATTAACTTCTAGAAGTTATAGAATTGTTTTGCATTTTACACTTGGTTCTACAATTGCCTGGAATTGTTTTTTGGTTGCTAGGTGAGGAAGGCTTTAAGTTTCTTCTTTTGTTCATGGGGATGCTTTCTTGTCCCAGTCCCACTCAAGCTGTTTTTTCCTCCACTTTCCTGCAGTACCACGTGTGTTATAAATTAAATGTCTGTTTCTATGGGTCTGTTTCTGAGCTTTCTATTCTGTGTGCCTTTGCAACAATAACTCACTGCCTTGTTTTTTATCACCTTGTTTTTCTAAAAGACTGTTTTGGCAATTCCTGATTTTTTTGCATTTCTATATAAATTTCAAGGTCAGCATGTGAAGTTCAAAGACAACAGCAGCAAACTATTAGAGAGTTTCCATTTTTCTTAAGGTGAAGAGGACTGGAAAGAGTATCATACCCACCCTTACAACAAGAAAAAAACTATATGGTCTACAAAAGTATAACTTTTAAAAACTGATCAGAGAACCTAAGTTACAGTGCAGCCAAGTAGCCAGAAATGTAAGGAAAGAAAGACTCCCTCCAGAGAGAGACAGCATGCAAGCATTTCCTCACCTTTGGCAGAACACAGAAGAAATGGGTGTCAGGCTCCCTACAAAACAGGTAAGAAAAATTCAGTGACTTTTATAAACAAATTTTCAAAAGCTGATTGTGGGACAACAGAAGAATCTAGAACCCCTGATGATGCTCACAGAAGGGGAATTTGCACCCACTCATAGGCCTTTCTCTATGGGCCTCACTGGGTGCGGAAGAGAATAACTGAGCATGGGGCAGGGGCTGGAAAAAGCCCTACCTGACCCTCTTTCTCTGCGGGATGAATACCGTAAGTCACCAGGAAGGATAGCAAAACTTGTCCTCAGATGATGACTGGGAAAGAGAAAATAGAAAAACCTTCAACTCCTAAGGGAGGAACAAGAAGCCATCCTGGCCCTAGCCCATTAAAGATATCCTATCCTGGGAGAGGTGAGGGGTGGGACCACTGAGAAAGCCCAGTCACATTGCTGGAACACAGGGCTTGCCTAAAGCTGAGGCTGGACCAGGACAACAGAACCCTCTACCCCACAGCAAGCTAGCAAGCCCTCCAAGCAACAGCACTCTGCTGCTGGAGGAGGGAGCAAGAATATGAATAGAGAAGGTCAAAAGCTAAAGGTGGAATGGGAACTAAGAAAAATATCTTTTGGCCACCATCCTTCAACTTAAGCATAAGGTAAGACTGGAGGGATTTGAAGCCAGTGTTGCATGAAGGTAACTGTAATCACAATAAAATCTAAACAAGATCAACTCCTGACCAATTTGACTCAATCCTGCACATTAAGGTTCTAGAAAAAGTAGCAGCATACCCATATTTAGCCATAAATGCTATTTACATCAGTTTCTACTACCCAACTCACAATAACCAGTATTTAGTTTAAAAGTTATAGGACATAAAGAGCAAGAAAAATCAACCCCTTATCAAGAGACAAGGCATCAAACGAAGCAGATACTGCTACTGTCAGATAAGAAATTTAACATGGCTACAAGTAATGTGTTAAGGGCCTAATGGAGAAGGTGGACAAATGCTAATCAGATGAGGAATTTCACAGAGACAGAAACTGTAAGGACAAGTAAAGTAGAAATGCTAGAATTTTTTTTTTTTAAAAAAGAGAGAAAGATGAAGAATGCCTTTGTGCTCATCAGTATACTTGACGCAGATGAAGCATGAAGCATGGTGAGCATGAAGACAGGTAAACCAGAACTACCCACATTGAAGCAACAGAGAGGGAAGAATTTAACACACACACAAATGGGCATCTCATAAGGAGAAGAGAGGGACCGCTGGGAGAAGCAAAATATTTAAAAAAAATAACTGCCAAGAAGTCTCTAAATAAAACAAAAGATATTAAACCAGGGAATTCACAAAGCTCAGAAAGCCTCAGCAGGATTTTAAAAACCTAGATATATCATAATAAAACCAATGGAAAAACAAAAATGAGAAAATCTTGAAGGCAGTAAGTGGGGGAAAATCACATTAAATACAGACAACAGAAAGAATATGACTTAAGTACAGAACTACTGTATGACTTACAGACCTGCTGTGTGTAAGTCATAAGACATTCAAAGAACTAACACCTATATTCCTCAAACTATTCAAAAAAATCTAAGAGGAAGGAATACTTCCAAGTTCTTTTTATGAGACTAGCATTATTCAAATTCCAAAACCAGATAAAGACAATACAAAGAAAGAGAATTACAGGCCAAT